ATTAGCAAACGTGATTCGAGCCTTTGAGATTCTTGCACTGACTTCATCAGACACACTTCCGTCAGAGCTAATACAACAACCGAGGTACGTAAAGTTTTCCACAAGCCAGTTTGGTCTAAAAAACGATGGTCACATAAATTCAATTCTAGCACCGCCATGAGCTGAACGCTGCGGGATTTCCCTTGCAGAGATGGATACATATGCGTAAAACATTGGTACGGTCATTACCTGTCGTATCGTGTGTGACCGTCTATTGGTTACGTCTGCACTGAGCCAGCGAGACTACGCGATAAGGAGAAGAGAGAGAACTTGGGACACGGCTTCATTGTCAGGACAAAACACAGTGATATCGAAGGTTGAACAAGGAAGCCTGTTCTCCGAATATTGACGATAAAACAGCAACAGTTTCATCGAAAGTCAGGTCACTTGGTTTTCGTAGCAAAATGTAGTTCGTAAAGCGTTCATGCTCGGCAACTCCGATTTTCCTGACCAACTAGCTGTCTTGCCTTCTAAGAATCTTCTCTGCTTCCCAGATCCAATCTGAAAAAGTCTTCATGCTTGTTGAACCAAGAATCAAAAGTAATGCATGAGATCGGATCGAACTGGAATTCAAGCATCGCGTTGAGCATCGTGTCGATCACTGAAGTGGACGACTCAATAGTCTGGCTAATCGGCTTTTGTAGTGACAATTTTTCAGTAAGTGTCTCGATGAGCTTCAACTGCGCCAACTCAAACTGTTGCTGGTGCTGTCTGAGGAGAGAGTGCATCTGTTCAAATGAAATCGCCATTGTGAACATCCGTTTGCCAGTGTTGCATCGGGGTGACTTTGGGGATGTGTCACTCTCTGCACATGTACTTTTCCACGTCTGGGCGCGTCCTGATATTACCTCAGTATCAGGCGTTGTTGCACACGCCATATCGAAACAAACAATCCACGTCATCGTATCCAAGGCTATGTTGACAAAAACTTCGCAGAGTGCTCACTACATCGTATATGAAGCGAAAAGCAACCGCGCAACAGTCAGTCAAACAAAAATGGCCGGAACACGAGTAGTTGGCAGTTCCACCTGCGACCCGCACCCTATTTGAAGCAATCCGAGCTCCGGGGCGAGACTTCAAAAAGTGATGTTCAGTTTGCGGTTGAAGGCAGCTCATTGTGTTCAACTTTCGTCGGATAGTGCAATCGGAAAATTGCGCATGCGTGCATTGTCAGTCATCGTCGAGTATGACGAACAGACCAAACGGAAGAATACAGTGGGAAATCAAAGTGCGAAGATTTATCAGCCCAAGGGAAGATTATTCTCCGAGGTGTCTAGCTGCCATGCCACCCGAAGGAAGCACGGGTATTGCTAGGTTGCCCAAGCCTAGACAAGGAGAGTCGAGAGGCAGAGACCGGGTTCGAACCTCGAACATTTCGGTCAGTGAATTCGCGCCCTAACCACTGAGCCAAGTGAAACAACCACTTGCATAGTTCAACAACCCTCTTCCTGGACGACTGAAAATGCGCTCTGGAAAATTCACCTCCTGAGCTTAAGTGGTCAGAAAGTGGGTTTCGCATCCCAGATTTTTCGGCACGAAAAAGTTCCCGTAAACGAGAAATGTTTGACGTGTTTCCGTACGGCAAACAGACACTAACATATTACATGGCTCCGAAAATTTTGTTTGAAGTGAGCACCAAATTCAGTTGAGAATAGAACCCGAGAGTAAACAGGCCTCTTTGACTGAGAGATTTCAGTTACCACGAACAGGGTGTTTGCATACCCGGGAAAACACGCTGTGCGTCCCAGGGAGCTCGAGGTCACTCGGTGGTTACCGAAAAATGCATGGTTCGAACCCAACTTCTGCTTCTCCACTTCCTCTCTCCAGGCTTGGACAACCCGGCAGTATCTCAGCCCTCATGCTTCCTTTGAGTGGCATGGCAGCTAGACACTGAAAGGGTGCTACAGCTGAACGATTATCATTTTTTAACTATTATTAGTAGTATCTGGTATCGCGAACCTTCACACGTACAAAGCGCAAAACATGCGATCGTTGGGTCATTAGCTCGAATGAACCCAGGCGAACGGAAGAGAACAGTTTATTAAGGACAACTTAGCTCCTTGACGGGCGAAACTACTGACAAGAACAGACAAAAGGGCAGAAGTCGATCGCCTTGCTGTATGAGGCGAGATCGACCAAGTGGTTAGAGCGCGAATTTACTGACCGGAAGGTCCGTGGTTCGAACCCGACCTCTGCCTCTTGACTTCCCCTATCTAGGTAAGGGCAACCTGGTAGTATCCTAGCCCTCGTGTGGCGTGGCAGCTAGGCCCCAAAAGGGTACTACAGCTGAACGATTTTTTATGTATGAGAAATATACTTGTGGCACTATCCACGAGATCCTCAGGGACTGTTAGATGAACAAGTTCGTCAATATCGACACGACGAGTTGCGGATAGAGCATTCGCTGTGTGCATAAAATATCCAGAGAGACCAGAGAACATCATACGCGCGCGCGAGTACTAGAAATAACTTCGTGTTTTTTTTTCGAAAGTCTGTGAGGGTAAACAAATCAGGAGACTTACCATGCACTAGAGTTTGCAGACACCATGAGTACCAGCTGGAAAAAAGGAAAGGATGTACTAATTAACACCATCAAAATGAGTAACTAAAATAAGTATGTCTGATGTAGGGAGCCCAAAAAAAAACGAATCGTCATAGAGATCGTTAGGGCATCAATACGGTGAGCCAGTCACCACGACATAGGCCTCTAAAAGAAAAGATATAACCAACTTTCCTTGATACAGGCAACAGCATTGTCCTCTGATCCCCAAAGAAAAGTCTCTGGAGGCCTTTCTTGTGATAGTTTAGTGAATTGGGTTCAATAATTCTCCCGATGAATGATAGAATCAATTGACCGGATGAAACGAGACCAGATCGAGGTAAACCAAATGTTTTTGAAAAGGGTACCGAAGAGAAAGCGGAAGAGGAGGGTGTGTGTGCGCGCACACACACACACACACAAATAGTTCAGTCGTCGCAGCCGAAGCGGCAATGAATTTAGTCAATCACTGTCAAAACCCGGGCAAAACAAGCCTCCCTCGCACCCCAAAAAACAACGTGCGTTTGTCCAGCATTGAGGTGAACCATGCGTTCAGCAGATAGCTAGTAGCTATGTTGCCCACAACACCTCCCCCCGCCTTCCGCAGACCCACCAGAGGCGTTGGGAAACGGGAGAAGAAATCACAGAGCGTCAAGCAACGAAGCGCTACCACAGAGAGTAGGGGAACGTCAAGTGACGTGCGCCGCATGTCAACATCCGTGCCGGAAACCAACTGAGGGCACTCACATGACATAAACAGAAAAAGGATGAAAAATAGCAATAAAAAGTTGAAACAATAGAACTAATAACTAGCTGAACGAAGCAAACGGAGCACCGAAGTACGTTCCCAACCGAGACACTAAGCAACCGGTAAATTTACGTCGATGTGGCTCCATCCTGAAAACGGATATTTCGAAGAGAAATTCATCTAGTAGGCGATAACGTGACGCATGTGTGAATGTTCCACGCGACGCAAACTGCGATCTCGGTAGCCCAAAGTTATTTCATTCCAGTACAGTGAAAAGATTTCCACAGCAAGTTTCTGAAGTCACAGTCGGTAAGGTGTGAGAATGTATCATCATCATCGTTCAGCTGTAACACCCTTTTGGTGCCTAGCTGCCATGCTAGCCGAAGGAAGCACGATGGCTGGGATACTGCCAAGTTGCCCAAGCCTAGACGGGAGGGGTCCAAAGGCAGAGCTCGGGTTCGAACCCCGGACCTTCCGTTCAGTAAATTCGTGCTCTAACCACTGAGCCATCTCGCTGTTCAACACTGATGTTTCGATACCATGTTACTAGAGGATAGAAGCCTTCACACCATGGATCAGAGGAGTCCTCTGTTTGTCCATTAGCCTGACACGTTTCCACTAATTATGGGGCGGCCAAGATTTCATCAACTTCAACGTTAGTCTGGCGAGAAGGAGTTCCTTGGATAGTGGTGGGCTGGTTTCCTCTAATGACTGGGAAGATGATGCGAAGATCAGTGAACGATGGTTTCAGTTATTCTGGATTAGTTGATTTTTAGTTTTTAGTGTTCAGTTGCAGTACGCTTCCAGTGCCAAACTGCCATGCCACCCGAAAGAAGCATGAGGGTTGGGATATTGCCCAAGCCTAGACAGGAGAGGTCGAGGGGCAGAGGTCGGGTTCGAAGTGAAAACCCAAGGAGCACAGTACAACTGTTTCATCCTTATTGGGAATCATCAACAGTGCGTGTCTCACAAAACTCCAACAGGAAGTTTCGAACCCACTCGTACATTACTCGGCCTGGAGCGACTGAACAGCTCTCACTTGGACAGGACACAGCGACAGTCATCCTCCAATCACGCAATTCACATCACGTGGTCAGGTGTTGATTGATTGGCTCCTTGAATGGAGGGAATGAGACAACTGTACAGTGATTCTCGGCTTTTCAGTAGAGACTAGCAGTTGCCAACCCCCCTCTCACTATCAATTGTAACCTTATATCTGCTCTGTTCAGAGGTGACAGATAAAAAGTCACCGTATCTGTCCGTGGAATAAACTGCACGAGAAATCGTAGGCTTTTATAAACTAGTTTCAGAAACGAACTGTTCACCGGTCATTATCTAAGTGTGTCCCCTGATATAAACAAGTCCCTAATTACAAATACCAGTTTTGGGTGGTGCTTCAAAGCAAATCTGAGCAAAGTATGGTCGTTTTTTCCTCATACGTTCGTAAAGTGAAGGACGCGGCAATGTGGCAAGAGAATGGGCAGGTAGCCTTCGTGCTGGAACAACACTGGACCAATCAGCGCGTCGGATACCGCTGACAACCGTCACATGACCCGACTGTCATGGTCATCGGACGCAAGCTACCATATCTGCTTACACAACAAGCCTCTATACCACCCTCTATCCAACTTGATAAGACTGGGGAAACTCACTCATTTGTACATTGATTTATTATTATCTGAATCGCAGGTTTGGGGGGGGGGAAGATGGCTTAAATGGTTAGGGCGCGAATTTACTAACCGGAAGGTCCATGGTTCGAACCCGACCTCTGTCTCTCGACTTCCCCTGTCTAGGCTTGGGCAACCTGGCAGTATCCCAGCCCTCGTTCAACCGTTGGGTGGCATGGCATTTAACAAACGGTGTTCAAATGAGCGATTGATTGATTGATTGATTTGAATCCCAGCTCACTCTTTAGTTGATGTGGGTTTGCTTCGACTACATGTACTGCAGCATGCCGCTTTATACTTCCGCTGGAGCAATATTCCAGAAGTTACGCCCTACTCATAAGGTTGCTAAGAGCTTTTCGAGAAATACACCCATTTGTAAATCAATTTGGTTTTCACGAGAGACTCAACTGAATCGCTCGTTTATGGTATTCTACAACTGAAAGTGCTGCACACAGACCGCCTCACATTTCAGTTGGCGCGATATTCGAGATATCGCAGTATATTTTCATAAAGAAAACTATTCACAAGATTGCTGAATACTCTTCGACAGCCCACGACCGGTTTCTCGAAAACAGTCCAATTTGAGTTTCGCCTCTATTGGGGACCGAGCTGGACTCAGTTGAGTCTCCCGTTAAAACCAAATTAGTCTGAAAGTGAGTGTGGCTCACCAATTGTGTCGGATTCATCATCGGATTCGTGTTCCAGCAGAACGTAAGTTTGTAGGTAACTTGGGGATTGCGACCACCCGACAAGACCCCAGAAGGGTGAAACCAGTCGTGGATTGTCTAAGAACTTTCAACAGCCTCATGAGGAATGGCATTGCAGCTAGGCACCGGAAGGGTGTTACAGCTGAACGATTTTCTTGACCGGTATTTATCGCTAACATTTTAGTCGCTAGATGTGTACGTTCTGACGACGAGCCCCAAATACTGTCGGGTCCTTCGAAAGGGCCTATCTTATTGTATATCGTCAAGCGTATGGCCTTCATCCAGCGGGTAAAATCGCTCCTGAACAAACCAGTTCGCGAGCTCTCTAGGGGTGAGCCGCTAGTGAAGCCAAGTCCAACAAAGGTGGGTAGATCCACAGGACAGGATGATCAGCACTTCAGAATTAGAAACTTGAAAGAAAAGCTAGCAAGTGTGGGTGAATGTGGTGCAACTGGAACAGACCAACGAGGAAGCCGAAATAAAGCAATGCGCCGAAAAGTTCCTACGGCTCGTAAGTTGGTGGGATAGAGTGTAACGGGTGCAGTGCAGTCAGGGATTCGGTTTCAACACATCACACGTCAATCTCAAATTCCAAATTAACTTGTCCGCTCCGTAAGAACGAACAAACCGGGGCAGTTTAGAACTCTACCTACACTAGGCAATTTAATTCAACAGTGAAACATTTGAGCAACAGAAGCCTCGTTTGAGAAAGAGACGGGGAATCACCAAGAGGAGTGTGCAACTGGCAGTGAACCCCACGTGAAATTCAACACCCAATCGTTTCCGGTGACGCTGAAGGCGTCCGCAGCAATTCGGATTCATGTCAGTGAAACAGACACGCAATTAGTCATGTGACTTTCATCTCTACCCACGAAGAACGGAGGCGGGAGAAATAAATTTTTTCGTCTCTCCGAACCGAATACAACACTCACCTTCGGTGTGGGGTGTAGAGTAGTGAGTAAATGGATCCAGCCAAACACAAGGGGATCAATAGAATCTGGAGCCAGAACATGAATTGCGCATCGAGTTCATCCGTTTCTCGCTCAGCCTTGGACCGTTGACCCCGGTGAAAACCGTGTTTGAAGCTGAACGAGAACTTGGTCAGACGAGCCAACTTCCACAGTTCGATACAGGTTGAGATCCCCATGGGCACGATGACCAAAAGACTACTTCGTTCTTCGCACAAGTGTAAGAAGATGATGAACGAACTGACAAACCGCCACACAACTACAGGGGAATACAGGAGAACAGCACGACAGAAAATGGATAAACTTTGTTGACAAAACACAGGGAGTAGACGTTGAATGGGTCTGAGGTGTGGCAATCGGATGATTTCTGTATCAATTTAATCTGTAATAGCTCACAAATATAACAGTGATCCCTACAGCGACGTCCGTTCTTGTATGGTTGTGCATCTGTACAAGTCGATTCGTTGTCATGTTTCTGGGGACACCGGTGTTCTGAATGACATCCGCCCTGGGGGAGATGGACAACAGGGGCCGTACATGACAGCGAAAAACAAAATAATGAAGTTATTTTCTGTTGGCAAAGTCAGGTGCACAAATCTGGCCTACTTTCCACCCCTTGTATGGCCAACACTCCCCTCACATTATGTTTAAGGCTGTACCCAATACAGCAACAGAGTAGACTTTTAATTTCAAGTAACTACTGTTCATCAGTTAGTAGTATGTTTTTGTCGTCAAACTCCCAGTGATGCGATTCGCAGCAGTCCACTGCATGGTTCAGTCTCGATTGTTGCCTTGTGTTACGGAACTTGTGCCCATTGGCAGTATCAAACCAATTAACCGTTGGCATAATCACGATAACAGAGTGCAGCTGGGGCGAACAAGTCAATGACGACCTACCGGTGCGCATCGATAGTCCAGTGGTGTTCTTCGCCTTCCGCCAAAATGAAATGTCATTTTTGAATGCCAGAAAATCGAAGAGAATCTGAATGTAGAAACAAAATGGCGAGCTAAACAAGGATGGTTTCGCACATGGGGGAGATGAATGTGTGCTAGACAACGTAGCAAGGATGAACGATTGGGAAATCTGGAGAGTGCCACACAAACCAAGGTTTCACTTTCTCTGATTATGTAGATACTGCGTGATTAAGAAAATTCTGCTTTACAGACAGCTTCATAGATGGTTATTATCCTCAGACCGAAACCAATATACGCTGAAAAGACGTGGGGTCAAAAGGTACTGAATGGCCATTCCACCCTCGTTTGGAAATATCACGAATTTTCGGGAGAATTCAAAAGCAGAAGTCCCATGAGCATACAGGCTCATAGAGTGTCACATCCATCTCAAAGTGTCAAGGTCGAATTGTAATAGGCTTCTGTCGAATGGATGGATATTCCTTTCGTTCACTCGTTGTTATTTGGATGGGAGGTTGAAGCAATTCACCCAGCGTTGGTCAGGGCAAACGTATTTCTTGATTTTAGATAAGACACGGTTGTTCGGCGACCATTACTTCGACCTCTGTCCGGCTATCAATTAATCAGCCTATCAAGCTATCACACTTGGACGCGGTCTGAGAGTCTGTCTCTGTAAATGGAGAGTGTAGGTGGGTTTTTCATCGCCTGCAGAGAGGAAGACAACCGATATCTAGTTGTCTGTTTGGTGATCTGATTTTGTCACTAGTGACGAATTCGAAGTCATGTTAGCGTTCTAGCCGTCTCACCAGAGTTATTACGCAAGTGACACAACAGATTTTTTACGGTCAGTAGTTAAGAGTAGTTACTGAGGTGTTTTTGCGGTCCGAAGCCGATCAACGAGGTGCACCTACGACGTTGTAATTCTTTATGGAACCATCATCTTCATCGACCTCATCATTTTCTCAAAACTGGTGTTCTAATGATTGCCATGAAGACTTTTGGTTTTCGCTGAACCAAACTACCTCTAGTTTTTCTGCGGTCATGGTCAGTACAACAAAAGTGAGCATTCAGTGGGCGAACCACCGCATAGTGGGCGCTTTTTTCATCTCACCCCATGGAAAACTCCCCCGGGCTTAGACAACGTGGAACGTTTAGCGAGGAAGGCAAATTTGGTGTTTCGGTAGTTGCCATCTCGCAACATTTGCTCACTCTGCCTAGACAAAATACGGTGACTATATTAGTTACATGCATATACTCCATGTGCATACGATAAGGGAGCAACATACTTGGCTCCCAAATTCACACGCCTTTGAATCTTGAACGGATTATGAAATACTGGGCATTCGTGCTACTTATAAACTATCGAGTAGCTTAAATTAAACGGCGAAAAACGGAGGCGGACAGGCATACCTGCACCACGGGCAATCATAACCGGGAAAAAGTATCCTAGCAATCTGGAGAACAATTATCCTCACGAATACGATAACTTAGTAGATTAGACAAAAATGTGAACCGTTCTGTCACTAAGTCCATGGCAGGTTGAGGTTCACGTCAAGTCGCTCCTGAACACACCGACGGCATTGATCGATCTATTGCAGCGTATTCGGTAAGTTTCGGAGGAGAAGGATGAAGAATACCTGCCTGTGGCAAGTGGACACATGACTGTAGTAGACTGTGGCGTTCTAGGAAATGAGACTTTCGGACCATAAAAGGCACGTGCACTCATTCTATCGGTTCTGCAGGAACACAGTGACGAACATTGATGTTTCGGGATCTCGTCATCAGCGCAGTACATAACTGGTGGTTAAAACTGAGCTAAATAACTAAATAAGCCAAGATTGGTTAGTGTATTGGAGAAGCTGGAGGCACGAACGACTGGTTATCAGTGAAACCTAATCCACATGCTGTGGGGTGGTCTGAAGGGCTGCTGAGCGAATGAGTCGATCGATTGGTGTCACATGACCCAGGCGCTCACATGAGTTGTCTTTGACAGTCGCAACACGATTGTGTTGCGCCTCTGGACCAACATTGGTAGTTTACTAAATATTTGGTGGTTGACATGAACCGACTAGTTCGTGACCGGCGTAGATTGTGTGACGCGATCGAGCTTTTGACTGGTGTTCCGGCAAAAGAGATGCTCATGTATTCTCTTGGAAGGTTGCCGCGTTGTGTGCCCAACGTATTTCGTTGAACAAAAGCGGAAGGAATACACTACCCTAAGCCTGAGCGAGCACGGAGACCGTCTTTAAGCAAACAGTTGTTTGTGAGCCAAGACCGCATAGTTGCAGCCGGAAACATGCGTTGTAAGGATTGAAACAGGCAGCGATTGATTGTATCTGCCAAAGCACCACCTTTATAGGATATATTGATTCCTTGCAATGGTTGTGACATATTCTTGGCTTTAAATCTCTCTCGATAACCGTGAGCAAGCATCAGTCCAGTGTATCCGCAGGCTAGATTCGGCTCGCTTGGTTCTTTAGTGTAGATCGGTGCTCCAGTGGCATAAAACTTTGACAGCTTGTATGCTGTCCAATTGATGTCGTTACTTTTCTTCTATTCTTATTGTGTACAACGAGATCCCTTGTTTTCTTGTTTCCGCCTCTTGTCTACATCTCTTTTCTTGTTTTTGATCTGAACGTAGGCCACTCTTCGATCTGGCCATCAGGCACCTAGTTTAGTGCAACTTCGTGGGCCATTTAACTCGATGTAAACTCTGCGTAGGTATACGACTTCCTACCTGGATTATTTGAGCAAGATCCCAATGGGAATCAGTAGTATCTAACTCCGTATACAAAAACCGGCGTAACCCCACGATTTGAAATTTTCTTATTACAATTTTTTATTACTTTACAATTGTATTCGTAGTACCGTATTTGCTGATAAGCCCACCGGACTGCTGGAAACAATCAATACCCGTCCACGTGTGATTTTCACAGAGATATCTCTGAGTAATCAATCTTCTGAGAAGTCGAATGCGCTGTCAACTTCCGTTTCGAAGCAAACTGAATGGAGGGATACGCTCGATTAAGGTTGTTCAGGAGAACACCTCAAATCCATTGGATTTATCAGCTATAAACTGTGTACCACAGGCACACTGGTTCCAGCTAGCACAGTTTCGATCACCGGAAAACGGGAAAGTGTGGGTCTTGTAGGCGAGAGTATGTTCAGTTTCATCGGGAATCGGGTAGATACGCATTGAAAGCGGTTGCTTTTGATGCGTGAACGCCACTGACCACGAGATTAGGCCATTCCTGCCAGCTTCAATAACCGTTGGTGAGTTGATTCCCGGGGTCCCAATCCAGGGAGGCGGTAGTTGCTCACCCGACTCGGTTTTCATAATTCTTTGCCGGGTCATACACCTCTCGGTCACTTCCACTCATCACATGATTGAGCGAAAAGAGGTTTGTGAGGCAGGCAGTCCTCTGGGATACGAAGTACATGTCCTAACTAGCGCAATCTGTGGAGGGTGAGTAATTCATCTATTGCGACAGAGTTCCTTCTTTCCAAGACCATGTGGCGTACCTCGGCATTGCTAATCCGATCTTCCCACAAGACCCGACTAGTGCTTCGGATACCAATGGTGAAACACCGACATCTTTCGTACGTCCTCTGAGTGTAGAGGCCATGTCTCTGATCCATAAACAGTACCAATCACATCGGTATGGAGAGAAGACTTTGGACCGTTGCTTCACTCATTCAAATTCCGCAGGAAAATAGTAACCGAGAGGACGTTACTCAAAGCCACGTGGGAATTAAGCCAGTTCATCAAGCACGGGTACCTGTGATCCAATCATGCAAACAAAGAAACAAATGACGAGATACCTGCTTCAGTCATCCTGCCGGACACTCATGTTTATCGCAGAACCACACGGCAAGAAACAAGGCAATGGTGAGCAAAGGTCTCCACTCGGAGGTCGATACGACCACAAAGTCGCGATGCACAGCAAAACCAACACGAACTGGTGTGTCAGTTCAAAGAATAATAATGGGATTAGATTCGATAGACGTAACACACTACTCATAAGGTTGCTGAAAACTTCTTTTTTAGTAAGAACGAGAGACCCAGCTGGGTTCCAGGTGAGGCGTTATGGTTAGATTGTTGTCCTGTTGAAACGCCAGGACTATCTGATCCAAGCACTGCATGCAGTGTATTTCCTGAAGTTAGCGAACAGTTCCGTAGCCTGATGACGATCGACCCGGATGTAGCTAGAACATACTCTTTTACTACCGCCTTTGGCTGACTCGTTGGGGCCTTGTAAGTGATCCTGGAAGTGGAATTCGTATCTACATTGTGTTTGAATTCTGACGAATGGGTCACTCGGTCAAGATTCTGATATGCCGGGCTGGATGGCGGCCGTTCTTGGTGATAACGCTGTCGCAAACCTGTTTCGCGAAACATTTAGACGTGTTTCCTGCAACATCATCGAAAATAGAAGAAATATGGGTATCGTATAACCCATTCCCCTCCCTTACAACACGAGGCAATGTTCAGCGGTTTGGCACTTGTGACGTGGCAGATCAAGACTACAATCGACTAGTTCATTGGTTGACGTGCGAACCTCCGGACCGCAAGGTAGGTGGTTCGAATCCAACAACAACAGATTAAGCTTGAGTAGTTGGCAGTATCTCAATCCACATGCCTCCTTTGGGTGACGTGGCACCTAGGCACCAAAATGACGTCACAAGTGAACGATTATCTATTGTTTCATTCATTACAATTCACTAACTCGCAAGGGTACTCGGGGGACTTACGTGACAAACCGATACAAACATGGTGGTCACAAGGAAATAGAAATTGGTGTCCAGGAAAAGTTGACGAACATCGTCGATATCTTTCTGCTTGAAACCTGAAACAAAAAAGGAAGCTGACTGACAGGAACTACATATAACTACATATAACACAAAATGGTTGATGACAAATATACTGAGAAGGTCCCCGCACTAACTGACATGCTGGAAGTTATATCACTTAGGTTTATTCACCTGAGCAAACGCATCTGTTGCGGAAGACCACTATAAACATGGACGTGCAGTCACTGAACACGCCACTTACAATCCGGGGAGAGGTACTGGAAGTTGTGGAGCGTTTTACGTATCTTGAATGTCCTGTCAGTTCGGATTTTAGTGTGACGGATGAGGTGAATGCACGAGTCTGCAAGGCTCCGGCCGCGTTTGCTAAGCTGTGTTGGTTGGGACATGTTTTACGCATGCCGAACCATCGTTTGCCGAAGAGAGTACTGTTTTCCATGCCCAATTCGGAGTGGCGTAAACAGAGAGGTGGCCAACCCATGACCTGGCAGAGGAGTATGAAGGAGATGACGAAACGCTTGGGTGCTGTCGGTGCTACTCGCCTTCCAGGATGGGGACCGCGTGATCCTCACTGTGCCTGGTTGGAGACACTACAAGATATGGCTTCCAACCGATGTCAGTGTCGTTCTTGTTGTCAGTTTCTGTCCAGATTGCCTGAGTGAATGTCTGGAGGCACCTCGGAATGATTGTGTTAAGCTAGCACTAAGTCCCTCCCCCGTCCACCTTTACTCTTTTCTTTACAATAAGGCTTTCAAATAAGTCATGATTGTACGGCGGTGAAGCATCAGTGTTGAACACTGATGTCACGCTGTCGATGATGATGATGATGATGATATCGTGTGCAGGACATACAGGTATGGTCGCTCATATCACACAGAGACTGCTACAGCACTCTGGGTATCGTTGTTAAATTTCAGGCGAGTGCAGAAACTCTTCCCTCCAGGTTCAAGCCAACAACCAGGGGGGTGTAGTGTGGTTCTTCTAACGAGAAAATCACAAAATAAAGCGAAGGTAACTGCTCACAAGGTTGCTGAAAACTCTTGGGCATTGACTGCTGCATACAATCAGATTCAAATCCTCGTACCGATTGGGCGAGATGTTGGGAACTACAATAATCTATTGACCGTGAGTGTTTTCAGTAAATTAAACCAGCCAACTTTTGGCAACTTATTTTGGGGCTGAGATGTCGTCATTTCACCCGGACCCAAGCTGAAACGATCGAAAAAAATACTCCGTCTGACGAAAAGCAGAACAGTTGCTGAAATGCATTGACCAATTCACGTCTTCCACTCCACTGATTGGAAAACGTTGAACAATGTGAACCAGCCTATCTTTGTCTTCAACGCACCTCCGTCTGAAAGCAGAACAGTTGCTGAAATGCATTGACCAATTCACGTCTTCCACTCCACTGATTGGAAAACGTTGAACAATGTGAACCAGCCTATCTTTGTCTTCAACGCACAAACCATCGAGGTCAAACGGTATCGGAGGCACTGCGGCATATGCGGAGGCCGTCCGGGTTGAATTCTTACCCTCCTGATCTTTATGAATGGTGGCGGATGACAATTGATCGTCACGAGTCTATGTTTCTTAATTCTGGTCTTATCTGCCTTGCATTCGATTTTGTTTCAAAGTTTGTTTCACGAAATTCACATTAAAGACTGTGACAAACAGTAGTGGGACAAACGGAAAAATGGGCGTCAACAACAGTGGGCAAACACAAACACGCCCGTAGAAGACAATTGATTCCCGTTCGTCTCAAATTATGAAGACCAAGAAGAAGGCGAGGTCGAATGGAAGAATTTCAGTGAACTCGGTCAAACTAGACGGAAAAACGCGAGTTTAAGGAGGCGTGGAACTCCACTGAAAAAAAAGCCCAAAGAACACACCCAGATCGACCCTGGTTAACAAATTCTGAGGATGAAAGGACTTGAAAATCACCGAGCTCGGTACCATACCAAGCTTTAAAGAAAGCGACACAACCAGTAAATTTGCGTTCACATCCTCACATCTTGTCACAATTATTCTGATGAGTCCAGTGTGCTCCATCTCTACGGTGTGGATAAGTGATGTGGCCTCGTGTTCTACAAAACGCGGAACACCTGCAACAGAACCGGTAAAGCCACAATCCAAAGTACACATCAAATTGACAATCCACAGCGCGTAAGAACAAGTTTAAGCGAATCAGAGAAAAGTTTGTTTCACGAAATTCACATTAAAGACTGTGACAAACAGTAGTGGGACAAACGGAAAAATGGGCGTCAACAACAGTGGGCAAACACAAACACGCCCGTAGTAGACAATCGATTCCCGTTCGTCTCAAATTATGAAGACCAAGAAGAAGGCGAGGTCGAATGGAAGAACTTCAGTGAACTCGGTCAAACTAGACGGAAAAACGCGAGTTTAAGGAGGCGTGGAACTCCACTGGAAAAAACGCCCAAAGAACACACCCAGATCGACCCTGGTTAACAAATTCTGAGGATGAAAGGACTTGAAAATCACCGAGCTCAGTACCATACCAAGCTTTAAAGAAAGCGACACAACCAGTAAATTTGCGTTCACATCCTCACATCTTGTCACAATTATTCTGATGAGTCCAGTGTGCTCCATCTCTACGGTGTGGATAAGTGATGTGGCCTCGTGTTCTACAAAACGCGGAACACCTGCAACAGAACCGGTAAAGCCACAATCCAAAGTACACATCAAATTGACAATCCACAGCGCGTAAGAACAAGTTTAAGCGAATCAGAGAACAAAACAGGTCAAAAATGAAAACTACTCAGACACACAAGGCAACCAATCAGGTGAAAGGAAAACAGACCGCAACGCAACAGCAACAGGACGAATCCGCTTAGAGAATAAAATTCACTAAAACTAGAAGCAGATGGCCAACCGAGGCATAGACGCAGGCCACAATGCACCACACAGGGACGTGAGGAAACGTAACTATGGCGGCTCCCAAACAGTAAAACCCGTTAAGGATATGAAGCAATCAACACCACCGTTGACTCACCACTGCTGCAAAAACACAAAATTTATTTTGTGATATTCAAAGCCCCGAAGTGAGATGAACAGATGAGGGAGGGACTTGATGCTTGGCTAGTGCAGGCATTTTGGGGTGCCTACACCTCCAAACACCCAGTCAGACAATCCAGAAAGAAACTGATGGCAAGAACGCCACTACCATCGATCAGCCGCAATTTCTCAAACGGGGGACCCCATCCTGGAAGGTGGACAGCACCAAAAACACTCAAACTCTTCGTAATCTCCTTCACACCCTTCTGCCAAGTCATAAGTTTTCCATCTCACGGTTTCCACCATTCTGAAGGAGGCACAGAGAACAACTTTCTTCTAGGTAGACGGTGTTTCGGCATGTGTAGGACATGACCGAGTCATCGCAGTTGACGGTGCTGGATTTTGTCTGGGATTCAAGTACCCTTTGCATGACAAAACAGCCGTTACGAACTGTTGATGTCAGAAACGCTTCTGGGGTATCGGTGGCCAAAAACTTGAATATGATTCACATCATCTACCTGCAGAGACCATGTCTCGGACCCATACAACACAGTCCTTCGTTCAGCTGCAGCACCCTTTCAGTGCCTAGCTGCCATGCCACCCGAAGAAAGCATGAGGGCTGCAATACTATTACCGGGTTGCCCAAGCCTAGGTAGGGGGAGTCGAGAGGCAGAGGTTGGGTTCGAACCACGGACCTTCCGGCCAGTAAATTCGCGTTCTAACCACTGGGCTAATTCGCCCTTACTTTGATCTGGTACACGCGATCTTTGATGACCAGAAATGCCTGAACATAACCTTTGAAATTAACACAAAGGCGGACAGGAAAGGTAAAAACGTACACCCAATCGTGCACTAACGACGTCATCCCGAATTGTGATGCACTGTTTGCAAGTCCGTTGCCAAGATTGCTTAAAACATCATCCCAAGACGTGTACTTTCGTTCCCACTACGTCTGCTTGGACTCAACAACTCAGAATCAGACAAAAACCTTGCAACCTTATCAAAATATGTATCAACGTCAGATCTATTGCTGAACTTGTTGGCGATATTGAAAAACCATACACGTCTGCGGTGTTGTGTTGCTGCGAAGTTGAAGTGCACAAGCCTGACGGAGAATAGGCATTCTGGGTAGCTCCCTCGTCTGGGCTTCTCATTTGATCATCATACATACTCGCCCGCGGCTGCTGTACTGTGAGACCTTGGCAACTGGATTGCTGTTGGCCGTAGAGTCAAGTGGCCGATCACATCTAGGCTCAACCGGAACAAAAGGCATTGTAGGATCCGTTTACGTGTCTGGTCAAAATGTCTAAAAATTAAAAAAAAATAGTTCATGCCTAGCTGCCATGCTGCTCGAAGGAAGCGCGAGGGCTGGGATACTGCCAGGTTGCCCAAGCCTAGATAGGGGAAGTCGAGAGGCAGAGGTCGGGTTCGAACCACGGACCTCCAGGTCAGTAAATTCGGGTTCTAACCACTTGGGCCATCTCGCCCCAAAATGTCTGCGAAACAGTGGGCCTCTTGCTGCGACCCATTTGCGGTACGTGCGCACTGGGGCGCACTCGAACTATGGCACTGAAAGATCTTGATCATTACGAGTCCGAAGCAGAACCCATGGATCACCATGGCACAGTAGCCGAGTCACTTGACTTTGTGACTGAATTTCAAATTCTTTTTTCCGGATCGAGGGCGATCGGCCTCTTGGTCACTGGCTTCGATGTGACTGTGCACGATACAAAAACGCACGAAAAGGTAAGGAAACCGCGCTATTGAGGCGCATGATGAACGAGTCTCCTGGTAAGACGAAAGCCCAGCGTACCAGGTATGAGACCCCTCACCAACGAAAAGTCATCACACCCAAGAAGGGCTTTACCCCCGTGGTCAGGTTTCTTTTTTTTAGGGGGGGCGGTATTGGCATCATGTGAATAAGAGACAATAAAACAGCAAACACATACCGTAGGAACGCAATTGTTCAGCCATCATTCCAAGCATACAACGTAGGCGAAACTTTCCTATCGATTGCGGTTCAACAGACACGGTAAATTTCATGGTTGGGTATTCCTGCTCGTCCCTGTGTGACACCACAGGAGTCTCTGTCCAGTCCGCAGACGGTTGCATCAACGGATTCACATAGACGACTGGCAGGTAAACTGGTCGCTGGCTGCGTTTGTCCGAAGTGGGTCGAATGTGTGGAACAAGTTCTGCGGCAACCGTGTTCAGATTAAATACCACAGGGGTTCGTAGGAGAAAAACGCGCAGCGTTGATAACCAAAAACTGACGGGTGATTGGTCATCTGGCTGTCCAGGTGGTGAAGGCTCCGATGATGATGATGAAGCAGACTCATCGCCTGTTTTGTTCTACGGACACATGAAAATGACAAAATTGTTAACCAGAAATTGTGCAGCTGACGAGGTTAGTCAATTCAAGTATTTAATATCAAGCCTCTTCTCTCGAGCACCCATAGCATTGGGGGCTATGGACCAAGCTCAACATAGCTGTGGTTAAGGTCCGTGGTTCGAATCCAACCTCGGCACCTCGACTGCTCTTGTCTACACTTGGGTAGCAATCTGGGAGCATATCAGTCTTTGTGATTCCTTGGGGTGGCATGACGGCTAAGTACCGAGCGCTACAGCTAAACGATGGGTCGAGCCAATCTCGCGTTGTCAAAAGTTCAATGTTCTCCCTGCTTATCCAAAGTGCAGTCAGATCAGTTCAATTGCTGTCGCTAAAAAAGACGCTCATCGAAGTGTAGTAATTCCAGCTGCTGCAGCTCCGTTCGCCTAAAATAAGGTGTAATGACAAGAAATCCACTGCGGACAGTTGATGTAAGTCGAAAATCAACCCAGCGAAAACACTTGCTAAGATTGTATGAAAGGGGTGTACTCAGTCGCTATCAAGCCGTTAGAATTCCGCTAGAATGAATCACGACAGATCACCCTGACGGGAACTCTACGTCAAGATTACAAAGATCAGCCTACAGGGGAACTGACGGTTGTGGTCCCCAAAAAAAACGAGTTTCCCGCAGTCACTACTTTACATTTATACAAGTGGGGCAACGCATACTGGACACAGACGTGATCAGTGCACCATTGCGTACGTAATTCTCTTCAACAGCAACTAAAATCCATATCAGAAGACTTCTACCTGTAATAAGATACAAACGAGCTTTTACGTTAACTGACTTCGTTGCCTTTTTGACACGCAACGCGACTGGTCGACTGTCGACAGATGAGACAAACAGACCCCGTGTTGTGTCTGCAAAACGGCCTACACAGGAGAGGCGCGTTTATGCAAGACAATTAATCCTCACACCCGAAACACCACATGGTTTGGTGATAGAGATCTACAAACGTCTGTAAACGGGCTAAACGGTCTCGTTGGCACATTGTGAGGAAAATTCATGTAAGAATGTACTGCTGTCTGAGTCACACCCCGGGACCTCTTCATATCTTGTGTCCCTTCAGTAAAGCAAGTTGTCTATGGCCATTATCGGTCTTCTAATTTCCGGAGCTTTATTTTACTTCCCTACATGACACCGCAAGAAAGTGTCTAACTTGACCGTCTTGCTGACATGTGCGCGGGAAGAAAGGATCGGGGATTGAAATTTGTCATGATCCAACACTCATTTTATTGGTGATTGTATTGGTCGTTGCACGCACGCACGCACGCAAACGTGGGCAATTAAAATGCGGAGTAAGAGTGTAGAACGTGCCACTTGAAATGCAAATGTTCATGGGTTTCGGTGATCCGCTGATGGAGGAAACTGTAGGCAATGATGTGTTGAGACTTTCACAAGCACTTCATCAAAATCTGAAAAGTTACCAACAGTTTGTTCTTCTTTCGAGAGCTGTCCAAGCATAGCAAGATAGCAGTAGAAAAGGCCCATAAAAAGTTGAGGAATGCAAACCCTTCCGTAAAAATGGTACATTTGTCGCAGTCCGAAGACAGAAGAAAAACTCACCATTCCACTGAGGAGATTATACGCTGTACGAACTGGCTCCTTGTGGGTGATGATAGGAACACGCTGAGACCAAAACAGGCTCGTTTCATCACGGAGGTTAAGTTGGACTAGGACTGTCTTGTTCTCGAACACCTCGGCCGACGGGGTTAGGTTCAACGAACTAAGAGACCATTCGATCAACATTGTGAAGTGGAAACTTACACAACTAGCCCCTCATCGAGGACGAAATAATCAGTCTTCAACCATTTAGTCGATGGTTTACCTGCACTGCTGACCAAATCTAACTCAAGCTTTAGGGTGGATATGATTTGTGAAAACAGAGTAGACTTACAAAAAAACGATCTTGGGGCTTCCAGCTGGGTTTTAGACAATTCATTTCCTCTCCACTGCAATCCGACGGAAAGAACACTTCGTACAAGGACCAAGCGGTGAAGAGGAAATACCCTAATCCCACTACCAGCAGGAGATTCGTGAACGAGAAGTGAGCCATTTTGTGTCTGGACCACTGGCTGAAAGGAAAATTGGGCGGCAGCGTGAGATGTGGATTGCCATTAACCAACACTAAATGCTGGTGTTTTACTACCATGGGACCGAGAAGAGACCGTCCTCATGTAATAGCTTTTCGCCTCACGAAGTACCCTGCCTTTCGCCTGAGATTCTGTGGGATACAGACGTGAGACAAGAGCACGGCTTTGTTTCAGCCTGTTTCTATCCGGATTATTTAGATGAGGGATTTGTGCGTTCAAAATGGAATACGAATCCGAACAACAGTTTGGGACAAGTAGGTGCAATTCTGTGGGAATTTCCCGCAAGGTTCATCCAAAAAAGACCCTCTTAGAATGTTCAGAAATCATTTCGTCACATGTGCAATTCATGGTTCTACGTGGGCTGGGATACTGCCAGGGCTCCGCACCTAGACACGAGAACGATGAGGGTCCTCAACCAAAGCCTTTGGCTCAAAAGCCTAACCGCAAGTCAGCGGTGTTTGGCGGGAAATGCAAATGCATTACCATTTCTACGGAACAAGTCGCCA